AGATATAATGCAGAACCATTTGAGCACTATACGAACAACTTCTGCAACTCTATCTAGAGGTCCACTCTACATAAGCTATCATCAACTACACGATGAACGCTTAGGAGCCGCACTTCCTTAGGCCGATGTCAGACTTTGCGAATCGCGCGATTCGCTAGCGTCCGCGGTCGCGTTGCGGTACCAGCCAATTGAGTGATTCACTGGCCGCGACGCGACCGCAGACGCTAGCGAATCGCGCGATTCGCAAAGTCTGACATCGGCCTAAGCTTTTTTGAAGAAGAAACCAACTTACTCAAAAGGCCCTCCCAGTAAGAAATGTCGGTGCCAGCTCCGCCAGCATTGACTTTGTTAACGATGGTCTTTTCCAGTTGACACAGTTCATCTACAGTTTTCCCCTGAAAAAATGCTGTTAAAAACAAGAGCAAGTGAAGGGCACGTGTTGCCATTATCTTCGACAAGAGAGTACCATACTGTGAACGCTCCCCAAGCAAACTTACCCAAGTCTGGAGTAGATCAATTCTGGATACCTTTCCGATGTAGCTCCCACGCTTACACCGATAGAGCTCTGTCTACCATAGGAGCTATATGGATATATTGTCACTGATAGCGAACAGTACAAGGACACACGAGGACGATGAATAGAATGAAGATGGATCACGAATTTCAGATCATGCCAAGTCGCTGGATCTAGTCATTGCCAATTTTCTCTTTCAAAGGAAAGAATTGCACTTAATCACATACCACGGTGGGGAACATAAGGCACATATCGACTACATACTGGCAAAGAAGAAACATTGATGTAATGTCCTTGACTGTAAAGCAATCCTATTGATGAGTGTTGGCAGTCAACATCGCGCCGTTGTCGTCACAACCAAAATAATAACAATTCGCCTGCCTTCATGCAGTCAATAGTCAGCAAAAAGCTTCTCAGATGGAACAAGATTGCTGACCTAGGACTGACTGAAAGAAACTACTGTTCGATGAAGATCCAACAAGCCACGTCGGATGACATCTAGTCATTAGTTGCCGCAGTAGAGATTTCAGACGA